TGTACGAACTGGATTTACGGTTCTTCTTCGGGCGGAGTCTGCTGCTAATGAGACAAACAGGCTGACATCCGTGGATGCATTGCGTGTTTTAGAAGGAGATCTTCTAGGCGCGTAGTGAAACTGCTCTCGCGGTGGATTGCGGCTTGGCCACTTGTGCACATTTGTGGTACAGTGAGGAGCTCAAAGGAATTAGGAAGTTATTTAAGGGGGGTTATCACACCTTTTGAGACTGGGGGACAATACAAGTGTGATAGAACACGACAACACCCAAGTTCACCCGTGTTCACAACGTACTGTCTTCTCGGTATGCACTGCTTCATTATATGTCAGTGTATAAACGGTACAGTGTTGTACATTCCTGTCATTGAGATGCGAGGTGTCGCAGCGCAGCCCAGTGATGGTTTGAGATTAGTTTAATTTGTGAGAAAACGGCCATTTCCTGAGAACACTGAAGGAGACACATACAAGGTGTATTTCCCACAGTGTCCCCCGTTCCGCCAGTGTCACAGAGGGGTTTATGGTCTGGGCACAGCCACGGTCACTCTCTGTTATTATCACGAATGGGTGTTCACGAGTGACCAGTACCGCTCGTATTGGGATCACTGAAATACTTTCACGTATGACCCAGTGGCCATTCCTGATTAATGCTATCCCCGCCTTTCAGTTTCTTCTAAGGAGTCGGGTACCACAGTTATTTCTGCCACGTCATAAAATTCCCTCAGGCCCGGTCAGGAGTAACGACCCCCCCAGCCTAGAATCCGATTTCCACAGCAGTGTCTCGTACCGTTTCAAACCGGAGCCAGGGCTGACCTTTAACCTCTGACCTCCTGTCTCCCCGGGCGCAGTGTGACGTCGGCGAGCGCTGCGCGGTGAAACACGGGCCCCGCATCGGCAAGCTGTGTGACTGCCTCCGGGGGGCCGCCTGCAACACCTTCTTGCTCCGCTGCTACTGACCAGGCCGGGACCCGCCGCACGGAGGCGCCGCCCGCGCCTGAGACCCCGGCTCGGCCTCTCCCACGTCCTCGACGCGCGTTGGGCGCTGTCCCTGTTCCTCTGTCACGTGTTCGTGTGTGTGTGTGATTTTAATGTGGTGACTGTCGTTACAGGAGCTTCGCGCACTGGTAAAACTATATCATACAGACTCTGTATAAGGATATAATGAAACTAATTTTATTTTTATTTAATAAAAGGGTGTCCTCATGCTTGCTTCTCTGTGGGGAGTCGGGAGAGGGTGGTTTCCATTACATTCTGATACTGTGTTGTCCACTAATGAAGAAAATGAACTGCAAAGAAAACTACGAACAGGAAAACCCACTTGATGGGCTTATTTAATAAAATCGCCACAAATAGTATGCTGATGGGGGAAAAAAATGCAACATTTTCTGAAATGCGAATACTATAGTTATAGCTTATGTACTTTCACAAAAAGTTGTCAATGTGCTTTAAGCCCTCTGACCAGCAATACAGTTTGTGCAGTGAGGCATTGCAGCTTGTCAATCACACGAAAGCTCGTTATTATGCACTTTTACCCAACGAGGTCCAGGTGGAACAATGCCTGACCAGGTCACCTTTAAAAAGGCCTTAATTCAAAGCTTAGGTCACTGCAAGAAAGGGCCACAGAAAAGAAAAGTTTGCTGTGCATTTAATAATGCCTCGAATGTCATCAGAAGCCAGGGAGAGGGCCATTGGCATGCTGCAGGCAGGCCTGTCATGTGCCAGCACTGCCAGACACTATGGAGTGAGCTGCTCCACTGTGTCCCGACTGCAGAGGAGGTTTCAGCAGACCGGCAGGACAGATGACCGTCCAAGATCCGGTCGCCCTCGAGTGACTACACCAGAGCAGGACCGACACATCAGACTGGTCCATCTGAGAGACCGTTTCAGATCTGCCCCCCGTACTGCTGCTGAAGCTGCCAACAGACACAATGCCCCCACCAGTGACAGGACAGTGAGGCTCCATGCTGCTGGCCTTTGAGCAAGGCGACCTGTCAGAGGCCCTCTGCTCACACCTCCTAGACCTCACACCTGACTGGCTTGGGCCAGAGGCTGCGATGGACTCGTCAGCAGTGGCATCAGGTCCTCTTCACAGACGAGTCACTCTTCAGCCTGTTCCACGCAGACGGGAGGGCCAGAGTGTGGAGCAGGAGATGTTGTGTTTCTTTTTTCCATCAGTATAAATTCAATAACCGAATTTTCTTGGAAATGGTATCAGCTGTGAATTATTGAAGCTATAAATTTATTAATAACATTATTTACAATGATTTAACAAAAGCAGCTACTATTCACACCCATTTATACAGGCCAGGGGGAAATTTGGCCAAGACACCGTGGTAACACCCCTACTGTTTTCTAGAAACACCTTTTAGTTACATTCAATAACCGAATTGTCTCGGAACTGGTATCAGCTGTGAATCATTGAAGCTATAAACCTATAACATTATTTACAATGACTTATCAAGAGCAGCTACGTTTCGCACCCACTTATACAACTCGTATTCACTGTAACAACCCGGGCGAAGTACCTTATTCAAGCGCACAACAGCTATGCCTCAGCTTGGATTTGAACCCACAACCTCCCACTTACGGGTCCAGAGTCCATACCGCCGCTCCCAACTCGTTTCGGAAAACACGAACCCATTCTTTTGGGAAGCCGGGTATAAGGAAGATTGGAGATTGCTGATGTCTCAGGGGAATGACTAAGGAAAACCAAGATCACGTTACCAGTTTCAAAGATTCATCCAGCATTTAATGAACTTAAACCGCCAACCGTCTCCGCCTTTGCCGCCCGCTTGCGTAATAAAACGAGAGTCGGCTTTTCCGCAGTCCTGACCTTCTCCACTGCGGCTTCGGATTAACGGCCATGATCTTCGTTTTGTATAAAAATAGCTGTCAGTGCCCGAAAATAGGCTTTTCACATAGTACAGTGCCTGAGATGCCATTTAAAAAGAAATACGCGACAGATTCGCTTTTCAAGAATCCTCTTTCAACAGAAGCGTTAAAATACGGAGGAGGTTCTCCGAAACGAACAATTGCTGAGGTTGTAGGTGGTGAAAACCAGTTTTGGCGGTTGTCTTTTGGTCATTATTCACAACCAGATTCAAGTACAAAAAACACGTAAGGAGATATTCTTTACATTTACGGATATACTGTGTGGGAAAAAACAGACTCCTATCTCTCGTCTCCCAGTGTGCTGCTCAGCTCTTCTGGGTTGATTAGGAGGCCATGATGGGTAAAGGCCAGGGGGAAATTTGGCCAAGACACCGTGTAAGTGTAAGTACATTATTCAATCGCACAACAGCTATGCCTCAACTGGGATTTGAACCCACAACCTCCCATTTATGGGTCCAGAGTCCATACCGCCGCTCCCAGCTCATTTCGGTAGACACGACCCCCTTCTTTTGGGAAGCGCGGCTATAAGGAGGTTGGGAGATGGCTGGTATCTCAGGGGAAGGACTGTGTTTTCCAGGTGTTAAGGAGTTTGCAGGCGAGGGCGCCTCTCACCTGGCAGGAGCCGAGCGCCTGCTGGCCGGAGTTGTCTTCCGCCTGCTTGGTGCTGCACTGCGTTCACAGAGACGGGAATCCAGCGGGAATCCAGCCGGATTAACTGCGTTAAATAAGCCCTATCGCCCCATCACAGCCGTGCCTCTATCAGAAAAGTCTTTAAAACAGTTCTTCTATGCCAGGTCTGTTGCACTGTGAAGCGTGCAGGCCAGATATTTCTCCGCACGGCATGTCTTTCTCAATGCAGTTGAACGTCGGCATTTTGGCAATTCAGTGTAAACCCGTTGCACATACTGCCTTACGTTCACGCGTCTTTAGCATGCGTGATTAAAAGAAGAATGGGTGTGATTAACAGCAGCTTTTAAAATATACCGATTCGCTGTATTGGGGTGCGTTTGGAACAATCGATTCCTCTGGTTCTACGAGACAGATTTGACGCGCTGTCGGCCTCGGTACATGTTTGTCTGGCGCCACCTAGTGGATTGACGGGGCAACTCCGACTTTACCGCGTTCAGAAATAGTTTTATTACCTCATCCAGACCAGGGTGACCACCCAGCGCCTGGTCTAGTTAAATATCTGGGGGAAAGGGAAAACTGGCCTAGTTGATTGCATAATTGGCTCAATGGGGTTATGAGCTCAGGCAGAATAAACACGGAAGACCTCGGCCGTTCGGAAGATCGGCTCTTGAATTCGTTTAGTGAACCAGTTAAAGGCTTAATTATGCCATTAGCGGGGTCTTTAACTGCTGCTCGAGTATGTGGTACGGACGGGTCCGGGGCTCTCTGCGATCCAGGGTGGAGCGATTAGGCCATATTTTACCAACACGCACCAACGCAATGCAACTTCGAGCGGCCTTCAGGCACCGCCAACGGGTTCCTTCTGACTGACCGACCGCCGGTCCGAGAGACTCCCGCACCCGGACCCCCCGCCCCTGCCCGGTGTCACCGCGCGGTGTCCCCTCACAAGGCCCGGCGCTCTGACGTCGTGTCGCCAGTAAACCCGTCTAAAAACGGAAAAGATTATTCTTGCTATAAAGAGCAGATTATGGGGGGGTCGGGTCGTAACCTCGCCGCTTTTTATGTAACCGCCGCCGCTAGGTCTGCTTAGTAGGTCAAGAAAAAAAAACCAACTGTATGACCGCTAACTGCTGGAGGAAAGTCTCTCCGGTAACTCAAGACAGTGCTTGAAGATGTGCGAGGGACATCGAAATCGCCTTGGTTCTACCGGGATATGTGGGAAAAAACATTCTAAATAAGTCCAGGCCAAAGCGATATCTTCCTTATTAGTTTATAGATAACCGGCGCGTTCGTGATATAGCGACAGTAAAAAGTCCAACTCAAAAAACAGGACAGGCGATGTTAAGACATCACGGGGTTTTGTTGTATAAAGAAGCAACAGCACGTTTGGTCAACGTAAAATCATTTCGTCTGCCATCTCCAAAACGAAGAGAGAAAGATCTCAATGTGTCTTTTTTTTCTCCTAATCAGGTCCACTCGCCACTGCCAGTGAAGTATTGTAAATTATTCTTTGCTCATGGCTCATAACTTACTTTATAGCTGGCTGGCTCAGTCCTTGTCACCACGCCTGTTTGGACATCGGGCCGGATTGGGGATTAATCGGCAGG